TATTTAGTAAAACCTAATTTTCCCATGTTAAAAGAAAACAGAAAATTGGAAAACTTCGAAATACTAATATGCGTTTGTTTATGATATTAATGCATTCTTTGCCGTAAACCAATTTTGCATAAATTCATATATGTATATAATAATAATAATAATAATAATAATAATAATAATAATAATAATAATAATAATAATAATAATAATAATGCAGGTAATTTCTTGCAGATGAAAGATACAAAAGAAAAACATTTATTGTCATATTTATTACATAAAAAAAAAAATGTATTGTTATTAGTGAATATATTCTTAATGATTTTAAATATCACACAAAAGAAACCTTTAAAAATATTTTAAATAATGTATGCAAAAAATGGATACACGGAAGACAGGCTAAATGTGTTAATTTACAATTATGACTAATTCATATAGATTTTTATGATTTTAATAACAAATTTAAAATTAAATATTTCTTTGTAATATTATCATTTACATTTATTATAATGTTTCGCGTTTTATCCAATATCACCGTTCTCCATGCATTTTATTACTGTCAAATGCGCGTATGTATCTACTGCTTTCATGATTATTATTATTATTATTATTATTATTATTATTATTATTATTATTATTATTATTATTATTATCATTATCATTATTACTATTATTATGCAATATATGCAGCATACATAAAAGTAACAAAAACTATAAAGTAGCTTAACAAAGTAACTATTAAAGTAACTTAACAAAGAAAAGAAAAACTTTCAAGAAGAAATGATTCAGAAATATGAGAAAACGAACCTTTTTTTTACGAAGAATGTAACAATAAAAAAAAAAAGAAAAAGAAAAATGGAAATCGTATATATATATATATGAAAAAACGCATTAAATAAAAATATCAATAACAAACAAACAAACTGCAACATTGTCCGATTTATTTAGAGATCAGACAGTTCTTATTAAGAATTCAAAAGTTCAAACATTTTTTATTTACCTGTCGGCTCGTTTGATCAATATATGTAAAAGATCGAAAGAGAGAGAGACAGAGAGAGAGAGAGAGAAAGAGAGAGAGAAAACATATCGGTTGTTGTTGCAAACTTACAAATATACAAAATTAAAAGGATATAAAATTATTATAATTAATAATAAGAATTTTTATCCTTAGATTATTATTTCATCGAAGATATCAAAGACTCGTTTCTTTATGAGTATTGATCGAATTAAGGGATGGGGGGAGAAGAGGGGAGGGAAGAAAAACGAAGAGAGAAGTAAGAAGAAGAAGAAGAAGAAAAAGATGATGAAAAAGAAAAGTGGTTGGCAGCTTGGATTCATTTTCTCACTGAAAGTCTAAGTTCGAACAACGCCGAAACGAAAAGTTAGCGGAAACGGAACCACCAAAGATTCCGATGGTTCCTCTTCTTCTTCTTCTTCTTCTTCTTCTTCTTCTTCTTCTTCTTCTGCTTCTTCTTCTTCTGCTTCTTCTTCTTTCGTGGCAACCATGAAGCCCCAAAGATTTCCTTGTCGGATAGATCGAACAAAACCGATTTTGCGGCGATTCAATTCCGTCGGAGGAAAGTTCGGATGGTTGGTATGACAGAGCCATTGGCTGCCAAGAGAAAATCTACGAACGATTCTCTACGATTTTCGATTCTATGTGTACGTTTGCGAAAAAAGAAAAAGAGAAATAGATATAAAGATAGAGATATATCAAGGGAAAGGATTCAATCGTAATTATGATATCATTTGGATTTTTTAGATCAAAAAAACAAAAAAAAAAAAAAAAAAAGAAAAGTGAAAGTGTTCGATAATCGTGAATAATAATTGAATATAATCATTTAAAATACTTCATTCTATTCTTAGAAATTAGATTTTTCTTAATAAAAAAGAAAAAAAAAAAAAGAAATCTCCCTTTGATATCTAAGCTCGACTGAATTTCAATGTATATCAGTCTTAAACGTATCTTGTTAGTTTCTATTTCCTAACTTCTTAAGACTTACGGATACCACGCTAACCACGCTTTATCGTATTTAACGATAATGAAGATCCCCCCTTTATCTGATAATCCTATATAGCTCGACGAGTACATGTCTTAATGAAAGAAATTTATTTTCAATAGTTTATTATCATAAACTTCTAATATATTAATTATTATCATTTAAAGTTTTCTTTTATTATGAAACATCGTTAACAAATAATCCTTTTCTTACTCGTCTTTACTCCATTCCAATGTTATCAATGAATTATAATACACACACACATATATATATATATATGTGTGTGTATAATAATTAATATACAATTTATTTATTATTGTATATTGATGGATATTTGAAAAAGAAAGAAAGAAAGAAAATTAATAAATAATAAAAGAAAGAAGATTGGAAGAAAAATGTATACATAAAAGAAGAATGTAGTGACAAAAAGTGACCTTAAAGATCATTATCGATTGGCGATATTCGATTCGAGATAACCATATCGATAGTAGAAGCAGAAAGCGTGTTTCGAA